GGCGGGACACGGCTCAGCACGCCAGCCTGCCTGAAAGAGGACATGAACAGTGGGGAAGGCTTCAAGAACTGCTCTTGGGACTTCAGGGCACGGCGTTTCTGTAGCAAGAGCCGCATCGGCTCACAGCAGAGCGACAAACTTGTCGAGTGACTCCCCTGGCATTCACTTTGCCATTGTTACTGTTTATCATTAGCTGTAGGTAGTTTATAGTTTGGAAAGCAGTGCCTCTCCTTTCTAGTTGTTTTCCATACCATTCCTTTATCAAAGCATCTGCCTCTACCATCGGTACCTTGTTCTAGTTAGCCTGAATAATTCAGAATAGCTATAAAAGCAGAGAGGTGTCCTTTCTTCTCTATTCCTGGAAGGGGATGGTGTCTTCTAGCACATGGGGCTTTGTTCTGCTCCCCACCCTTCACCTGCCTTCTGAAAGCATAGGGCTGCTCCCCAAAGGATGGTGAGAAGGCAACAGCAGCACAGGCAGGGCCATCCCAAACAGCACCTGCCTCTAGTCCTAGACATGGCCAAGTGATGAATCAGGTCCAGAGTGGGCAGCTCAGAGACAAAGCTCCAGTGTAGTCCAAGGCACATCCAGGAGAGACAGCTGAAGAGAGTTAAAACTACAAAGTGGCTCAGGCAGGGTGTAAAGGCCCAGGCCTGAGCTTAAATGGAGCTCCTGGACCAACTGGCAAGAGGGTGCAAGGGTGAGGGTCTCAGCTGAGGCTGGTCAGGGTAATCAAGGCCCGTTGGAGGTGCTGATATCTGCCTGGGCTGCCTCAAAAGGAAAATTCTGGAGTGTTTGTGGCCAAGTCTACTTTTGACTGTAGGTCTTGAGTCTCCCTCCAGCACAGTGAAGGCCTAATTTATATCCACAGATAGGTTTTGATCTTAAGATCTCAGAGTGGTACGATGCAGGTAGTCTGAAAGTGTGCTACCACTGCCTTTTCTGCTTGAGAGCTCCAGTATGGACAGCAATGTCTACATCCATTCAAGAAAATTTACATATAGTAAAAGCAACTTTGATTGTATTGAAGTTGTGTATTTTGCACTCCTGGGAAATACCTTTCATCAAACAAGCAAATTTTCCTTGTTTCAGTTTTGCTAGCTTTCACAATGTTGAAAAAGCCATCGGTTCTAAATCCAGGCTGTTCGTACCACAGACCAAGTAACAATCGCTTTTGCTCATAGGAAAAGGTGTAAGCACTTCATTTTTTGACTTAATGTGGTTACCTGGGAACAAGCACCTTTCAATTTCCAAACATGGGATCTTGTAGTGGGAGACCCTGCTCTTGTTGGGTCAGTGTCATGGCTGGTAGCTGCCTACCTGACTGATGTGGATGTAAAGACTGCCATTGTCTTAAGATCCTATCCTGCAAGAAAAAAAAGACACATATGTTCTTGGGTGGTAGTGCACTCAGCTTCTACGAAAGCAAATAGAAGCAGAGAGTGCTCAGAACTTTGAAGATCAAACTGGTCACAAGTTTAGCTGCAGATAAGAGGAGGACGCGTTTCTGGATAGCTAGGAACCTTATTTTGATTAAATGCATGAAAGGTGCTCTTCATTACTATATGGTTAATGGTCTGTTGTGTATTGGAGACTTTCAAAACACTGCAGTTCTGACCATAGGCCACTTCATGTTCATCCTGCTCCCGGACCAGCAGAGTTTGGTCTTCTCAGGTGTGACTCCCAGTTGCCACTGCTTTTCCCTGCCTCCCTTAGACAGGCACACAGCACAAGCTCCCACGGCTTCCTTCCTTGTGCCATTGGAACTGTGCCGTGAAATCATGTTGTGCCAGGTACAATCTCCTGCCTATGTCATTGTGCTGATCACTAGGCAAAATTAAAAGATGACCCTGGATTAGTATTCTGCTGAGGGGGTGATTTCAAGCAGCTTATAAAGAGGTCTGATGAGCAGTGCCAGCAGCACAAGGTAAATAACAGGAGGATACAGCTGGGAGGAGAAGATGGTGTGGCTTTTCAAGAGCGGTGAGATGCTAGATCAGCTCACAATGTCTTAGGGAATCTCACCAATTATGTGGTTGCTTGGGCAAGCTGACCCAGCTGCTTGGGGTTTCCATCTCCATCCTCACTGCCAGCTGCAGAATCGCTCCCCCACTGAAGGGTGAACTTGCATGTTCTGGTTTTAGTTGGCCTAAACTGGGTAACTGTGGGTTTTCCCTTGGATTAGCAAACTAAAACAGCTCAGAGAGGTGTCCAGCAGACAGCAGAGCTGACACTACTTAGGCATTGGGAGCCTGGTGTAGTGGGGGGAGAAACAGGACCTCCCCTTCCAGCAGCACTGAGCTGTTACCACATTTCACAGAGCTGCAGCTCGAGGCTGCCATTTTACATGCTAGCGTGGGAGATCCAACAGCCCACCAGATATGATCTCCTGCCCCAGCGCAGTGCTGGCTCTTGCTGGGCTCCTCTGACAGCTAGTCCAGCTCACCCTACACACACCTCCCCCAGAAAGCAGATGGCTGGAGAGTTAGATCTGCTGAAGGTGTGACAGCTACCTGCCACCCGCACGTGAAACCATGCTGGGAGTTGAAGCCAATGCTCGGATATCAAGTGGAGTGTGTGGTTGTGTTGTGCCAGTGCACCACCTGCGGTTGCTTTAGCGTATCATGTCACCCTAATTTTCCCTAAAATATACATGCAACTCTGTTTACTTCTTAAAAGGCCTTTCACCTGCCCATGCCAGTTTCTTGTCTAGGAAAGAGAGTTCCTAGTTATATTTGTTCCATGGTTTGCCAGTTCTTACTGGCTGTCAGGCCACCTCTGCTGTGGCACTACTGCCACCTCAGGGAACTGGCTTTGCGGGCACTTTTGGGACCCCAAACCCCAGTTCTTGACCCCATGGGTAACGGGTTTTCTAGCCCTGTTTTGAATCTCTCATTTTCAGAAGACCAATTCTTTCAGGCTCGCCCAGCCGCAGGGCTCAGCCTGGTTGCTGTCATGGGGACAGTGAGGAAAGTGCTAAATGTCATGCCAGTTACCAAACAGCAAACCCTGGAGCTCAGCTGCACCACAGATCTTCCCATCAGTTCCTCCCTGCATTATCCTGTTGGATGTATTTCATGCATCAGGCACTTCACAATTGGCAGCTTACCTTAGGTACACATGAGCCAGACTCAATCTCCACTGTATATTTAGTTAATTCTGTATATTTTGAAAAGTTTCTCTCTTCCCATTGCACAGGGCTGCTCCTGAATCTTCCTCTGAGACTCCAGATTGCCAAACACAGATCAGCAGTCTGAAATACGTCCTGTCCAAGAAACCAAAGACTCCGGTGAGTTGAAGAATTCCAATGAAACGTCCAAATTTTAGCGAACTTGTTCAACTTTGAGTCTTGCTGGAAGCCCAGGGACCAACCTGAACTATTAGGAAGTCAAGCAAGTTCTAATAATTTTCATCTTTCTTTAATATATATATATATATATAAAATCTATAGGTTGCTGCTAACTCTTACATTTCAGATTCAGATGTCATCTTTGTGAATTAATTACTGCATTTTTAAGGGGGGAGGAAAGAAGAGAGGAATATAAGTGTTCTCGGCTGCAGCTTTATGAGTGGATATACATGCTAGATACTGAAGCCAGAATTTGACCCATGTAGTTTTAAAAAACGAAAAAAGAAACCACATGCTGTTTAATCATAGGCTAAGAGCATCCTGCAGGAACATCTGCTCCCTGGTATTTATCAGCCTTAGTAAATAAAAGAAACTAACATGGGAAAAATCTGTAGCAAATTATGAGAAAATAAATTCCAGGAACATGTATACCAACAAACTAATGGGAGGTTAAGGTCTACAAAAGTCTTATGTTATATATTTTGTTTGGGTTTTTTTTCAGTAGCATGTTGGTTATATTTCAGGAATGTGCAACTTCTATGACAGGCTGTATGTGCTACATTAGCACAAGAACTTAAAGAATTGTTTTGTCCCAAGAGCTGGGACTTCCTGTAAGCACTGTCCTCATTGTACAAAAGATTTTCAGCTCTCAATATATTGGAATCTTTCTGTTTCTCCAATGTAATTTTCCTGCATCTTGCACTGAAATTGGGACACTTAAACATCTGAGGCTTTACATAACTGTTCCAAGGCCTGATCAGTCTGAAGTTTGGGTTTTAAAATTTAAATCTTCCTGTTTGTCCATGATTAATTTTTTGTAAGTTTTACAGACAGAATAGGGAGGGATTTGTACTGGACAATTGCTTACTAATTATTTGATTGTAATCATGAAGATAAAGTAGAGCAATCCAGCATTGCTGGCTTTCCCCTGCGAAAGAAAACCCCTCTGAGAATGTTCCAAGATAGAAATGAACAGACTCTGAAAATTAACCACAAGATTTTGCTTTCAGCTTTTTTGCAGCTTCTGAAGGAAAATTGATTCATCACATTCTTTTTACTGTTCCTCAGACCTTATCTTCACTGCATTCTACGCTGATGCAAATTCAGCTGTTTTGTGTAGGGTCACCAACCTCCGTTTAAAAGTCCTCAACACACACAGTGCAAAACTCCCAAGTGGAAACAAGACCAAAGTGAAACCTGTTATTTTGGGTTTCGTCTGGATTAATGCACAACTCTGTTTGTGTGATGCTTGATTTTCTAGTGGTCCCAATGTAGACCAAGACATCATTTTTCACACAAAGATGTGAACAGCATGAACAATAGCTACCAGGGGATTGTTCAGAGATGTTTCATGGAACTAGTCTGTCAAGATGATTTCTTCAATGGACAGAAATGTTTACTTTGTTTTCAGGTGTGGTCAGTCCTCGCTGAGAAGAGTTTCAGGCTATGGCCCTTGTCATTCATAGGCAGTTGGGTTGATTTTGGCTCTTTGTTGTGAGTTTCTAGTGCTCGGATATACCGAAAGGATTTTTTCCTTTCAATCTTTTCAGCTTTCTGTGAGAGGCCACTGGTCTACATGGCCTGCATTTGTAACTGGGCAGACAGTCCAAAAGAACCACAAACTCTGCTGTGCCCCAGAGGAGAGACAGTCTAGGTAAGCTCAGCCTGCATGAGTGGTTAAGTCACCAGGATGTCTGGAAGTGGTATTTGAAAACTAAGACCTTACAGAGCAGAACCTCTTCCAGCATTAGTGAGAACAGTGACGTTGGGTGACCCCACAAGAGTTCAGCACGACAGAGGAGACGTTGGTTCTGACTAGTAGCTTTATAGGAGATGTCAAGTATTTATGTAATAGTGAGTCATGCTTAGTATAAACTTTACCATAAAATGCTATTGTTTAATGATTCATTGACCAACATTCTATAGGATCCTGTCAGGGCCCCAAGTGCACCAGCAGGCTCTGCAAGCTCTTCTCCAGTCCTAGGCATTTAGGTGCCTGGGCTCAAGACCAGTTCTGATACGGCACAGCTGGGTAATCTGGTATCAGGTGCTGTGAAAAGAGCTGTGTGAGAAAGAGTTGTGAGATACCTTCACTCAGGCTTGCTCACCTTTGGTTCTTGCTGGAGCTGCAGTGTAGCCACATCTGTCTTGCACCCCACTGCTGCCAGCCTGCTGATTTGGCATCCAAGCTTGACATCAGACCTTCCTCATCATCATGGACTTGCCTGACCATCACTGACCTGTGGATGACCATCGAGGGACCTGCTCTGCTATTCTTGTTCAAGTCCCGTGGCATTGTGCCCTGCTGGGCAGGTCACTGGCCCTGCTTTCTTTGCTGTCACACTCTGGGTGCCCCGCTCCCCTTGAGCACAGGCACCCAAACGCCTGGGGGTAGGGGAAGAGCGTGCAGAGCCTGTTGGTGCACTCAGGGCTCTGACAGACTGCAGGACACGGTTGTGGATGATGTAATGAGGGGAGCTGGGCTTTTTAGTTTGAATTCTAGATGGTTTTAATGTGAAATTTGCATGATAACATCCAGCAATGGGACACTTAGCCTAGAACCTCCTGAGGTTACTGAGGAATCCAGAACCTCCTGAAACATAGTATGTTATCGGTTCTCTTTTCAAATGGCTGATTTCCTTGAGCCATTTCAAATAGCGTCATTAGTGTTTCTTCTCTTCTGATACAGAGAACCCACTCACCTGGCTTTTTACACCAAAAACCATTATGAAGTTCTTAAACTGAATAGTAATAGCAGGATGTCTTGAAAAGCCTCCCGCTCCATCAAGGATTTTTAAGTTGTCCGTTGTATGCTATATGATTTTCCCTTACCTGAGAGAACATATATGTACTACAGTAAAAAAAAAAAACAACAAAAGTCCTGCTGTGAAGCAATGGGCAGTAGGAAGAAAACCAAGATCCCTGAGCTGATTTATTATGAGTTCATTCTTACGTCTATGACACATGTAAGTCCATGGTCCATTCTTTTCCTGTGTCTCTGCAGCAATAAACAGGCCCTTCTTGGCATTCCAAAGCCACAATATTTGGAGCAACTGAAGTCCTACTTGAGGAAAGAGCTGCAGTCTCTTGATCTGACTAAAAAGAACTCTCAAGAACTGAAGTTACAGGTCTGATACAAGGTTCTCTTGACTTGAAACTAAGTGCTGAGATGAGTTACTTAAATTTGCCATCCAAAGGAAAAAGTAGATGAGTAGAGTAGGCACCTATGGGTAGTGTGGGATAAGAGGGTTTGCAGCTCACACTAGTAAACTTGCACAGAAAGCAGTTTGTTTATATGTTGGGTTGCTGATTTTTACATGTTGTTGGATTGTTCACATCTTCTTATGTACTCTGTGTCTTCTGTAACAGTTTCCATTTTCAAATCAAAGCCCAAGTCTTCAAAAAGATCTGATAATCTAAAGTGGATGTGAAACAGAATTTACACACTAAACTCCTGAAGATTCCTGCCTAAGCCCAGAAAGCAGCAAGTGTGTAGGTTCCCAAATTTTCACTGCAAAACCTCTCATTTCCAAAGTTAGGTTTCTACACGTGACAAGAAGGGGCTTTCTCATCTAGCTCTTGCCTGAAATTCTTAATTTCTAATGGGTCTGATCCTGAGCGGGGGGGGGTGTCTTGCGAGTGTTTGAGGACACACCTTACGGAGACATTGAGAGCTACCACTTTAACTTAAAACACAGAGTAGGAGTGGGTACACTTGTTTTTGTAACATCCTGTAATTAGAGCACTTGTACAGACCATGGGAAGTATGGATTTGATTTTCTCTGCACTGATTAATTCAAATTCTCACTCCCAAAGGAATCCCATAGTGATGGGGAAAGAAAGTGGTAGATGGAAGAGAATGGAGGGAAACAAAGAGTGACTAATGGCAAGAGAAAACAGAGGTTTCCTGAATGTGTTTACACTTTGGAAATATTTTTTACTGTCTCACAGGACTTGTTTTGTTTTATTTAATTGTGAGCTACAATCAGTGAGAACACTACTTACTGCCACTGAAATCTTCCCATGGCCCAGCTGCAACACAGGAGTTTGACTATCCTCTCTGAACATGTTTTATTCTGCTGAGAAGGATATCTGCAGAGAGCCTCTCTGCCCTGCAGAGCTTGCAATTTAACTTAACAAAACAGGCAACAAAAGCAGCAATATGATCTTGTTACATATCTTTGACATCCATATTGTGGTGCCCGTATTGTAACTTGAATTCCAGTCAGCTCCCTCTGAACAGTATCATTTTCATTCTGGAGCTGTGCCCTGACAGACTTGATCAAAGCTTCCCTGTGTTTGGTCTCCATCGTGCTGTGGTGCCGATCAACAGGGGGAGAGAACTCCACCTTTGTAGGAGATATTTGAGATGGCAGAGCAGAGATGGAGAGACAAAATACATTGTGGCAGCAGCATTTTTATACTTATTCTCACTGTCATTAGATGGCATTTGTGTCGGATGAAACAGCTATCTTTGAATGCTGAAAAATGGGCCACTGAATGTTTTCTCAAGCTTGCTTTCTTCTCTCAGCCCTACAGAGAGATTTTTTAATTCTTCGTAGACAACTTCAAGACCTATAAACCCTTGCTGTCAGCTATAAAGAATGAATATGAAGTTACTTTGGGTAAGCTTTTGGACTTTGACCTGTGGGGAAAAAACACTAATGGAGACATGTTATTACAGAACTTAGTTGTCTTGGATATATACACAGGATGAACAGCCTAAATAGATGTCAGCTGGTAAAACCACCCTTCTGGTCCATGAGGTCTGTTTCCTTCAGGATGAAGTTGTTGGAGGGTTTTTTTTCCTATAATATTTCAGATTTTTAGATTTAGATTTAAGATTTTTAGATTTTTTTAAAAATCTGCATCACATACACAGTTCAGGCAACAGCAGCATCTCAAGGTTTTTCTAGGACAATCACATTTATAGTGGAGTGTATTGTACGAATGTGTTTGGATGCATTTGCACTGGTAACTTGAAGCCTGACTGACTCCTGAAGCAAGGCAGAGCAGGGAGCTGAACTGGCTGTTCCCTGGCTGCTCTTAGTGTGCTTCAAACTTTGCTTGGCATTCAGATGCCACAGTGTACCAGCAGTACGTAAACAATCACAGAGGGCTAGAAATAGACTGTAACCGGGAGCTCATTTCACACTGGGTGCTGGGCAGCTATCAAAAGTCGACAGTTTTCTACTGGGATAGTCTCTTAAAGGATATATATTATTTAACCCAGCATCTGTTACCTGGGCTACCTAATCTACCTCATAGTCCCTCATTATAGACAAAAATCTTTGCACAGTATCTTTCACCCAGGTCAACAAGTCGATTTTAATCACTATATAAAAACATGGGTTTCAAATAAAGTTCCCTCCAGAACTCTGTAGTAGACACTGCTTCAGCTCCCAGAGAGATTACTGATGTCTGTGCTGTAGCTGATACGGTACTGCTTTCTGAAACTTCTTTTTTTTTTTTTTTTTAAGCATTTACTTATTGACTTCTCCATGTTGCTTGGATGTGATATTACCTTTTTTTTCTTTGAAGTCTCTGGAGACTTCAGAGCAAAACGTATCTTTTATGGTAGCTTTATTTTTGGAAATCAACTGAATGCCAGTGAACCAATATGCCATGGTGGCAAGTGTACTTGAAGCTCTAAGAATAAAACAAATTGAATATTGTTATTACTTTTTAAAGTTGGGATTGGGATCCTCCCACCTTTCTGAATATTGAGGAGTCATTTTCCTAATTACAGATTTTACCTTGCTAATGAAGCCTGCATGACATCCAGCCCCTTTTAGCTAAGGGGGTTGGATGGGGTTATCAGTAAGTGATGAGGGATAACAGTTTTAAGCTAGAAAAGGGTAGATATAAGTTGGACATTGGGAAAAAGTTCTTTAATATGAGTGTGGTGCATCACTGGAACAGGTTGCCCAGAGAGGTAGTGGAAGCCCCATCCCTGGAGACATTCCAGGACAGGCTTGATGGTGCTCTTAGCAACCTGACCCAGTTAGATATGTCCCTGCTTATTGTAGGGGGGTTGGACTAGATGGCCTTTAGAGGTCCCTTCCAACCCAATACATTCTGTGATTCTATGATTTCCAGGCCTGTTTCTCCCTCCCAGCACAGACAACAGCTCACCTGCCTGGCCAAGGAAGTGTGATCTAATCCAACCATTCATGGCCACGGAAACAAGAAGGTCCCACGTACCCGGTGCAGATGGTGGACTCTCACTGCTTAGAACGCACCAGCTCTGCCACTCGTGGGACACCTCCGTGTCCTGAGTCAACTCACCCAGCAGGAAAAACAAAGACCAAGAGCTGCAAAGTTTCCTGTTGGTTTAGTGAGTTGAATTGCTCAAGAAAGTGTCTGTGCTACGGAAAAGACAAAAGCAAGTGTCTGAGAGGAGAAAGAGTAGAAAAGAAAGAGAAAAGGAAGGGAATTTGATGATTTGTAGAACTGCACTCCTAAGTATTTATCTTTATTCTTAAATTATGCATGACTGTGCTTAACATAAACAACTTTAAAACCTCTGAGAGGTGGCCATTCTGTGGGCTCCTAACATCAGACATAACAAACGTTTATAGTCACTCACTACAGTGCTTGGAGTCTTAAGGTGCAGCTTTGGAGCTGCTGAACAGGACAGTTTGCTTAGAGAGATGTCTAATCACTCCGCCCAGCCTGCATACTCTCTATCTGTAGCATTTCAGCTCTGTCTGAAACTGAAACTAAACCTCCTTTACACCACAGCATTTTATTTCTCATCCAACTGGCTATTATCTTTGTAGTCTGATTTAGCAGCTTTGTCTTACCCTGTTTTTTCTGCCTTAGTCCTATCCCCTGCACTAGCTTGGCCTATATGATGTTCAAGGTGCTCACTATGGCACCCACTGCTGGGGCGGATTCTCCCCTTAAATCTGCTAGCATTACAACATATTCCCAGTTCAGTCAGAATAATCTGGTTAAAAAAACCCAAAAAAAAACCCAAAAAATTGTATTATTAAATGTTGTCCTAAAATTGTACTGCTTACACTGTATATTTAGCTGCATCATTTTGGCAGCACGACGTTTGAAGCAGCTAGCACATGCACAGCTGAGCACACAGACCGGAGAAGGTGGCTGCCCCTGATGGGAATGGGATTGTGCAGCCTGTGCTGGCTGCTTGCAGCTGCTTTTCTCCTGCCAGAACAGGACATACAACTGTAGCTGTAGCTCCTTCGGGTGCTAAGGTTGTGCTGAGCCAGCCCTGAGGCTTTATGGTGTTGTTTCTGGAGTAAATCCACACAAATGCGAAGATATTGAGCAGACTTTGGAAAATAGCACCATAGAGGAGAGAGCCATCAAATCCCTACAGCTGTTAGCTTGCTCCGAGGTAAAGGCTGGGTTGCTGGGAACTCCTCCAAGACAAAGCTGAGTGACAGGGTAGGTCTTCACTTTGCAGCAATGCTATCCATAGCTGAACCCATTTCTTCATTAAAATAATACTCAGGTTGCTATGTCTGCAGGGCCTTCACATTCACTCCTTTGTGATGCTAAGACTTCTGGGTCCATCCAGCAATTCCGTTTTTGTGCAATGAGCTGCACCACAGCCTGAATTCTTTCCAAGTGGGAGAATGTCTCTCCTTTCTTGGCATGGGGAGAGATATGAGAGGTCATCAGAGAGCTAATGTTCTCAGATGATACTGGCCAGAGTCCACACTACAAAATAATCACTTTGGCAGCCAACGAGTTGTGCTCTTCTGACATGCAGAAGAACAGCTACAATTAAAAACACTGGTGCACTTAATATAAAGGGGTTTGCTTGTGTTCAGGAGTCAGTTGTGAAATACTCAAACTACACCTTGAAATGAGTTTGCTGAAGTTTTGACACAGTGTCCTTGGCTCACACTGAGCAACAAAACAGCCCAGTGGCAGAATCACTGGGCTAGCATTCTAATTTTTGCCATCTCATGTCCTAATACCAGTCTCATAGTGAAAGAGTTTTGCAAAAGCTTTGGTACAGTTATAGCGTGGGAAGGAAATTCACACCCAAGTATAATAAGAAAAGTAGTTCCTGTTCTTAGATTTGTGTATGCATTTTAGCTTTTAAAATGCAAAATCTGTTGCATAGTATTTGTACAGAAATACTAATATCAGATTTACTGAGGAGGGAAAAAACCCTCCAAGTCAGATTATTCAGCATCCACCAGTATTTGGGAGGAACAGTTTTGACTGCTGAGTAATACAGTTATTCCCAGACAAAATGAGGCTTGCTCACAGCCTCACTTGAATCACACCTTATACTGTCTTTGATCATTTTATTCTCATGGTGGAATTCCATCTAGTTGTAAAAACAAGCCTCCACACCAAGGAGGTAGCATCAGATGAAACTCTACCCTGTAACTAGGATGTGGGACCCAAGTCAAGTACTGTCACTAGGTTCTTCAGGTAAATATCTTTAAGAAAAATTTTCAAGTCAAAGGGGAAATAGCTGAGAGTGAAAAGCACATATTACAGCAGAGAAAGCCAAGAAGAGCACAAGTTCTTTCTTACATGTACTGGAGAGAAAGGCAAAAAAAGAGAGGTCAAGGCATACCTAAAAAGAGAGAAGAGTAGGTAGACAACAAAAGGTTGCATGAGACCATGCATTTGGAGACAAGAAAGCAGATCAAAGTTCATGAAGAATGTGCTTTCACAAAAGAGAGTCCACTGCTAATTACCAGCTGTCTTTAGCCCAGTGTTTAAATGGTGACACCCTCACACCTAGTGAAACATGACGAAGCCATCAGTGCTCATTCTATCTTATCAAAACCTTAAGTACTCAAGAAAACAAAATAGAATACGGTTCATCCTTTGTTTTCCAAACCAGGATAAATAGCATGAGCTGAAATCAAAAATCCTTATGAAGTTCTTATGCACAGCTGGATAAACAACGGGATATAATCCCAAAAGATGCTACTCCCAGTCCTTAGGCACTCACCAGACCAAGCAGTAAAAGCTCTGTGCTCAGTCCCACTTCCCACTGGCATGTTTTTGAGATTGAATATCCAATAGCCCAGCTGAATAAAATTCAGGCTTTGTTGCTCATTGTAAGACCCCAGCTCTGCTTTCTTCAGCTCACCAGAAGAAGATAATTCGTGCCCTGGAGCCCCTGAAGGCTATGGTCACAACTGTCTTCAAGGAGTGCACCCAGCAGATAGTGGCACTGGAGGAGAAAGAGAAAGATGAAATAAACATGTTAAAGCAAGAGAAACAACGGTTGTTAAAGTTCATTGACAACATGAAGGAAGAAAAGAATTCTCTTCAGACTCAGGTAAATTCAATGATGAGTCAAAGGTTTCCCAACTGCAGTTGGATGCATTTTATAGATCTGATTTCTTACCTCCCAGCCTCTCGTCCTTTGGTGCCAGTAGAAGTTCTGGAGCAGGCACTGAACATCTGGCACAGCAGTGATGCTGGATCTTGACCAAGTCCAGAGAACATCCTGTTCTCTTGGGACAGGCTGTGCTGCCGCTCTCAGAAGTCTTCACTGGTATCTCTTGTCCCATCTGGCTCTTCCAGTACCACATTGGAAAAGGGAAAGAAATAAATGCCTTCCTTCCTGGTACTAATGTTTTACGTTTTTATGTAAAAGTGCATGCACTTTTTTTACAACATTGTACCCTTAGCATCTTTAAATATGTATTATTCATCTTAAATGGTGTAACTCGGATCATGAAATGTGTATAATTCACTCTCTGGAAGGCTAAAACTCAGATGGAGTACCCTCTTACACACTACTTCCAAGTCTGAACCCATCATATTTCTGTCTGGCCCAGCCTTTTCTACACTGTTATCACTTGCCCACTCTCCTGCCCCAGTTTTTCCCATTTTGCTTCCCCTTTCCCATGCTCTGTTCCTTAGTTTCTGCTCTAGACCCACCAAGCCAGTCCAAGAGTTCCCACTGATCCCATGCTCCTGATCAATTCAAGCCTCTCTTTCCTGCAGGTGGAGCACCTGCGGACAAGCATGGCTGAGGACTACACTCACTATCTCAATGAATACAGTGCCCGCAAACTGCTTCTGGCAAAACTGAATGATATGCATAATGAACGGCTGGACATGACACATCACCAGGTCCAAGGTAGAGAGAGCAGAGCAGATCTCTGTAAGAACCTGTCCTGCACAGAGACCCAAATGCACAGCCTTGGGTGCAGCATTGCAGTAAAAATTCAAAGTATCTCTGAAATATCTTCAGATACGCTTTGATCCTTAAAAGAAGTTAGACAAATTCATGGCCAAAAAGTCCATAAACGGGTAGGAAAGAGAATAGGCAGGGATGTTCCTACTAGTGATTCGGTACGCTCTTGCTTAGCACAACAGGTAAATCGAAGACGTTCCTTATGTTTTTTGACTCCAGTGCCAACTGGCAGCTGGCAGCTTTGTGGCTGTCCACAGGGGTGGACAAAACTGCTGAACTTCAGGTGTCACAAATACCTGGCCCTAAAGTTACTCGTGGTGGTAGGGAACCTTTCAGCACCTGATCTCTGTTGATCCCCAGTCAGGTTCAGGCACCCATAGTGCTACTGCCTCTTACTCGCTGGCTGCGGCCATTGCATCTGCGTAAGGCCCTCCCCACCCACGATCTTTTCTGTTGATCAAAACCAAGCCTGAGCCTTTGACTGTGTGCATAGGAGAGCAGGCAAGACAGTGGGTGGGGATGTGAACACTGCAATATACTCCTGGACTTGCAGTTCTTTAATAATAGTAATACAGTCTACACCCATAGGGCTCTTGCTGACACTTTGTAAGGTTATGTGGTCTAAGTGCTCCATAGACAATTTAGAAAACTACGACTGCATTTTTACGGTCTTGAGATTTCATCAATGGCTGTTGTTCAAAGACATCAAGGGTGAAGATGTGGTGAAGTTAACTTTGGCATTAAAGTTAGCTCGGCAGGACCTCACGAAAGCTCAGCTGAAGCTGAACACTGTGATAGCAGACTACGGAGATGTTGTGCCCAGGAGAGATTTTGAATCACTGGAGAAAAAATACTCTGATTTACTTCAGGAGGTGAGCATAAGCTCCTAGTTTTCAAGCTACACCACATAAATACAAACAAACCATGATGCTTCAGTATTCAGGTTGAGATAGGGACTCAGTAAACCCAGAGCTCACATAAAGGCATTTCTTTGTTCTTTATGCGTGTGACACATGGAAAGCCACTGGCTTCTCATCCCCAAAGCTCCCTATCTATTGGAATCACAAACTGCCTGAGCACTGAAAATTAATATACCATCACAAACCCTTAACATCAGGTTTAACTGAGTTAAAAAAGTGTAAAAGCAATAAGGGCCCACAGACCACCAAGAGCCCACAGATTACAGCTTGGGAACTACTGTCTGAAGTCATCATCTATAATAAATAAATGAACTAGGTTCACCTCACGCACATTGCACAGTTTTGTCCAAACCACAGCTCACTGAAACTGCTGCTGGCCTGCTAATGCTTGCCTGTCTAGCTGGGTTTTTGCCTTTTTCAGTAGTATTAAATGACTTCTTTAGCCCGCTGGAACTCCAAGTTCATCAACAAAACTATGGGGCTGATCAGTGCATTTCCAGCTGTGAAAGAACTGGACTAGGTTTCTTGTGTTGTATCCGTTTGCTGCCTTTTCAGAATCAGTGTTTGACTGCTTGCGCAGGAGCAATGCATTGTCACATGCAGACAGCAAAGGGACATCACACACCAGTGGCCAGGACGGGGTCTTCCTCCAGCCCTGCAGTGGGAGAGTGGCAGTGACCTGATCTCTAGAAGAATGAAAAGAGAAAGATAACTCCTTGGATCCCACCACGTAGTTAGTGCGCAGCTGTCAAGAGGGATGGATGAAAACCTCCATTAAACCTTCACAAAAGCAGTGCTGGGCCATTTGAGTTGTGTTTGGGCCATTGGTAGCTCCACTGGCAGCTCCATTCCAGACCTGACCATCAGCACTGCTTGATCCACTGGTCATGTCCCTACGTCATGGCATAATAAATACAGACACTGCCCTCAAAACCCAGACTAGAGCTGTGGTCACCTCTGAATCACAACGTACCTTTGCACTAATAGAGCAAAGATAGATCATACAAAAAAAGAAATACTTTCCAAATAAAGTATAGTGGATCTGAAGGAGATGCACATAAAAATTTCTAGAACAGAAGCCTATGTTTCTCCTGCTCTCTCCTACTGGATTAAGATCTGGTTTTAAACACAAGAACAGGTATAAAAGAGTCATTGACATATTTTGTCAGAAGTTTTTGTAAATGGTAACAATAAAATTTAATAAAGGATGTATTTTTCTTCTGGTCTAGAAGCAATCAGGCAGGGACAGCTCTCCATAAGCCCATGGACTACACTGAAAGCTCACCGGAGCTGTCTGACAACACCAGCAAATTTCTGTTACTCTGGTTGGTTTGTTATGATCCTCCTTTCTGTATCCTTTAGATGGAGACTCTGCAGAAAGATTTTGATCAGCTCCATAAGGAACATGGAACCCTGCTGGAAGTCCACAGAGAGACTGCAGAAGAGCGAGACAACTTCTGCGCTGAACTCCAGTGAGTTCAGGGCAACTGCATGTCCCGGCCAAACTGAGCAAAGTGTTCAGGTGCCAAACATGTTCAGCAGTGATTTGCTTAAGGCGGCTCATCCTCAAACACCTCACTGTGGTGCATTTCTTACCTGCAACACCCTATTTTCTCTTAGGCTTTTAGGAGTGGTCTGAGAGAGAGGAGCTTGCAGGGTATTCCACTTTGCCTTAGACATCTTAGGAGACAAACTAGACATCTAGAGGTCTGTGTCTATCGTACGGCTCCTAGTGGGATTCACACAAAACCAGGATGTGTGGGCACGTTCTTTTCTAGCAGCTCAGCACCTTTTTGCTGTTGCAGAGGTGATTCCCGGTGGAGTTGACCGGTGTGGCTGTCTGGCTGAGGGGAAGACCAGCAATCAGCTAGTGGATGTGCTACTGGAAGAAATAGGAACAGAAGCGCTAAAAGACAGAAATGTTTTCCCCGGATGAGTATGTGCAAGCTTTCTTCTCTGCTTGTTTCCACTGAGATTAATTGGTCGTAAACAGCCATTAGGAAGGTGGGAGAATTGCTTTCAATATTCACCTTCCCATTAGTGTAACCTCCGAAAACTTTAAAACTAGGAAAGCTCCGGTGCAATAGAAAAGCTGAAACCTAGCATGAGCATTCTGAAGACACAGCTGAAGTAGCCATGCTTTACAACAATGCCACGTGAATCATTCAGACATGCAGGTATTTGGGCTAGAGCCCCTTCCTAATGCTGCACTATGTGGCTGAGACGAATTAACAGCTTCCTGCTGCCGAAAAGCCTTGTCCTTCTGCCCTGTCCCTACCCCCTCGTTCTGGCTGTGGCGATGGGGAAGTGCCCAGCAGAGCAGCATTTGTTTTTTCCCAGGTTAGTTCTCTGCTGATGAGACGAACTCAGACAAAGCACTAGAATGACTAAGAGTAAGAAGCAAGACTACATAGCAGGGAATTACTACTCTCTGCAGCATCAGGAAGTGAATTCAACTCACACTGTCCCATTGCACCACATCCCAGCATGTGAGGGAATCGTGAAATGACAGAGGGCCAAGGAGGTTCCAAGGATTCTTCACGTCATACCAAGCATAACTGTATCCAAAGGTTTTCTCAGGGACAGAGTAGCATTTCTTTGGTCCTTCAACATTTCTTCCTCAGCCTTTCGAGGAGCTTGAACTGTTTGCCTTGCCGTTCCTGGAAGATATTTCCAAGGAAGATCTTTCCTCTTCTGTTTTTGCTGGGCAGAACCTCTCACACAGTCCCATTTTGTCCACCCTGGAGCACTTGAGACACACTGCAGAGATGCTGACAGCTGTGGTTTATAGCATTGGCAATGAGGCCTACACAAATGACTCATTTTGATGGTTTTAGGTGCTGAGAACACGGCTTTGGTGCTGCATTGCTACCAGTGCGGCGAGTGCCCTACCTGTATCTGTGTTTCTTTTCCATTACTTAGGGCAAAGGTGACAAGGTTCCTGTGTACCTGAGGCATGAAGGTGAAGTCAAGAACAAAAAGCTGACTAAGAACGATATGGTGAACATCCTAAAGGATGTCTGGAAGGAGAAAATTGCACTAGAACAGCAGGTTTGTCCCATTTTCCTTCTCTACAAACAGCATTTGCTATGACAGTCAGTCCAGTTTGGGAAGCAAAACCTGGCAGGCTGCAGCTTCTCATGAGAATAAAAGTAAACACTGACACACACTAGAGAAGGGAATCCTGTCCATGCAAGACATGTCAGGCTCTTACTGCTGCTGACAGAGCCTCTAGAAGACCCTATTTATTTCAGACACTTTAGTCGTAGTTCTGCCATGCTGGGGGACCCAGGGCATGCATCTGCGCCTGAGGGGGTAACAGCTCAAGCAAGTTGTTCAACAAGAGGCCACTGTGAACAGCCACCCTGCAAGGCGCTGTGTTGCCTGCTTAATTATTTGTAAATCACTAAAAGCCGTTGAGGTAAAAGTTGCTTTAGAAGCCAGCACAGCCCTTTTGCAGTGTTGCTTCCCTCCTGAAGGTAGTGCAGGGAACAGATGGGGCCATTACCCCCCTGTGAGCCTTCCCTGTTTCACAGGTGGGTGAAGAATAGTACCACAGCCAGAATCGGCTGACTTCGCACCTGCAAAAGGAGCTGGCTGCCTGTGACAGCTCCAACAGCAGATCCCTGCCCAGCAGGCAGTTCAGGCAAGAGGCCGACTGTTGCCCACCGAGCTCTGCCCACGTCTGGCACACATCACATGCTGTGATATGCTGCTTTGCTTATCTGCCAGCACAGCCGGGGGAGGAGGTTTTGCTCTCTTCTAAATTCCTGTGCGGACAGCTGTAGGAAGCCTGGACTTGGTAACCTCTGCATTAGATCTAGAATAACGTGAATACAGCAGGTTTTGAGTAGCGCAGCTGAAGGGGCCTGGCTGAGAGCAGACACGGAGTGTGCCACGCAGGCAGTGGGACAGGCTGGCAGCCCCTGCGTCCTGCCATGTGCCCTGAGGGGACACAGGACCCTACACAGTGCTCCTGCGAGCTCCTGCGGTAGCTCACAAAGCAGGTCTGTGAATTTTGCTATGGGTGCAAGGTTTGTCAGTCTTCTCCCAGTTCATCAATCGGCTGTGTCTTCTTAAGTGAAACAAAATACAGCATTTCTCTGGGCCATGGCCCAGAAGAGAAGCAGCAGCCATTTCCAGCACTTAGCTGGGAACACAGCTCTGGTACAGACACGCTGACCAATTCAGTCTGGGCAACCAGCTAACTCCATCCAGAATTCCCCATGTGGCTCAGCATCCAACACTCACCGAAGTCCCAAGCTCTGCTGAAAGCTTTGCCCTTGTTTTGGTGTGCGAAGGTGCATGTGCTTTTGGAAACGTGTTTCCTGGGAAAGCAATGAATTTTTGAAGATCTGGTCCACGGAACACATGCATACACTGGCAGCCTAAAACCCAGCCACGCTGGCAGTTGTTAATTAAGCACTTGTACTGTGACAGCATGCACACTTCTGTCCGTCTTGCCTGTCTCCATACAGCATGGCTGTGAGGGAGGCTTTTCCCCTGAAAAGGAAAGAGTCCATCCAAGAACTAGTCGATGCAAGCAGGTACAAGCTGGACAGCACTGAAGACCTCATCGTCTATGTGTCCTTATTCAACAAAGTAAGCTGATGTTACTTACGTTTTCCTTTTGATTCAGATTAAGCCTAATTTAGGGATTGTTAGTTTTATCAGACTAACTAGGTTTATCAGACTAACAAAGTTGCGTGGCCCACCACAAGCTCTAACACCTGAAGGTCACCTGCAGACAACGGCAGTGCAGGCTTGTGCCTTTTCTGTGATAGGAGGTTTTTCATATTCTTTCTCTTTATTTCCACTTTTCACACAGAAATTCCATTTCTAGGAGAGATGAGTTATTTTAATACACATTGTGGGGCAGCTCCTATCACATGTGGAACACGTGTTCAGTGCTAATGCACCTGTAATTTCTTTCAGGATGAGGAGGGGAACACTGAACCTTTCATTGCCAAGCTCAGGAGCCAGTATGTCAGGGAGAAGCAGGAGTATCTGAGACAGCTGAAGAACATGCTGGGAGATTTAACCTAAGTCTGGAGGGAAGGGGCTGATGGGGACAGTAGATCGGGACAGCCACATGCAAAGGGAACCCTGCTGCAGACATTAGAGTGCATGGCCAGCACAGGAGCCCCTCCAAATCCTGGCTGAGCCCCGCTCTGCAAAACACTGTGCAGTGTCAGCTCCTGATCTGAAGGACCGGGATATGGCAGGCAGTGAGCAGAAAGGATTGGTTGTACCAATAATCCCCTTCAATACCTGAAGTCTCCTGTCTCAACATTCCTCAGCTCTTCAAAAGCAGCAGTAAAATCCTGCACATCCTCAGAGATTGGTCCTGAGGAGTGGGCAGAGCCAACAGGACTGACAACTGCATATATAAAGAAATAATTCCACCTTAAAACAAGATAAACAAGAAGCAATTACTGCATAGGAAAAAAGTCCTGTGCCCGACACAGAGAACACCAAAAGTGGGTAGGTACCCATGAAGTTAAGTACTGTCCAACATGGGCACTGAATTAGCAAGGGAAAATGTAGTTCTGTAACAAAGGGTATCACAATGCACAATGGAGTGAAATTGAGGTCTTCTCAGGCGGCAAGACTTGCAGTGGGAGGTTGCCTGATCCCCAAACAGAGGCTTCGCACCCCCACGGCCCTGGGGCACCGCAGGGCGTTGGGCTCCCTGCTTGATGACAAAACAACTGTGCTCCAGCAGCCACTACTAGAACCTGAGAAGTCACTGAACTCCAGGCTGCACCGCGGCTGCTTTAGCCCTTGGCCCTTACGGTTCCTGGGATCAGAGGGAGGGTTTCAAGGACACGTTTGTGAAATAAGGTGCCATCAGCACAGTCAGCATGCACCTGACCGGCGAGTTCAGCCACGCCAGGTTTGCTATTGTGCCTGTCCCCAAGGAGACATTTCTCTCTGTGTAGCTGCTGATGTCCACCATGAAGTCACTTCGGAAGAAAGACAAGTGCTGCCCCATGCGTGGGTTTAACCAAACTCTGAGCCGGAAAAGTAATCCAAGCACAGAAACAATGACATCTGTCCCTTGTTTCATGGAGACATCACATGCAGTTTGGTAACTGCTTTTCCAACCACTGGCATCAATTAATCTTTCCTATCCATTTGCGTCCTCTCCATCCAGCACAGAGCCCTCTCCAGGGAGGGGAATGAGTGTTCTGGAAAAAAAAACCCTGTAGGAAAACAGCTCTGCTACGGTTGTGCCTCAATTGCAGAGTAAGTGGAACAAACCTGAGAAGCAAAACCTGTTTTCTCACAACATAGTTTGAAAGGTAGAAAGAGGAAAGCTGAAATCAGAAGTGGTCTTGCTAAAACCCCCACTATTTTTGCGAGTATTTGCAAAAATGTATTGCATTTGTAAACTGGAAAGGTGTCATGGCCTGCGTGACAGAGCAAGTACCACCCAGAGGTATAAGGCCTCTGGGATTTCTGCCTTGACTACTGCACTTGGTGCCAGGCACTTCCAACACAAATCACAAAATGCCAGGAAAGGAACTATAAAAGGATTGAAAAGGGAGATGCATCATGTGGCTGGAAACCCAACACCCTCACTGCAAGTGTCTCTGGGAGTGTTCTGAAATGAGGGGCTGTAGCACAGCAAAATTTCAGTACGTCTAAAACAGACAGGGAACTTCAACACCAAGAAAGTGTTTGGTAGATGAAAATCAAATCTGCAAAGTATTTCAAGAAAATAGGGAGGGAGAGCAAGCATCAGGCTACAGAGAGCAAGAATCCCTCCTTCTGCTTCACCCTGAGGCCTTTAAGTCCCAAAACAGTAACAGCTGTTCGCAGCGCCAGGTAGCTCCTTCTTTTGCCCTTCGTCAGGACTTGACCAATGTGTCCCTAAAGTCTTGAATTTAGTTAACCCTGACTTTACTGCAATGAGACGCTGAACACGTCTCAACAGAATAGACCAGGTGGGGAAACTTAACCTCTCCCTCCCCCAACATTCCCAGCCATCGAAGCCCTGTCATCCCCTGCCTTCAGCTGGAGGCCCATCAGGTCAGGAGCGAGGCAGCAGAGGACGTGGCACAGAGGTGTGTCCTCACAGCACAGCTGCAGGAGGAGGCAACACCACAGAAAGAAAGAACAACTAGCAGCTTCTCCTTGGGTGGTTCTCTCCTTAGGAAAAGAGGGTTCTCACTGTGTTTTAGCAACAGAGGAGGAGTTGGAAACTTCATTGCGACTTCAGATCAAAATTTTCACACTCTGGCACACAAAGCCTTGAGGACACACTCAAGAAGGCCAATAATTCAGAAAAAATATTTTAAAAACTACAAGCTTTGCAATCAGAAGCTGTTTTCTTTTGAATATTGCAAAAAAAAAAAATCCCCTTTGTTGTATTAATGGGATTACTTTTTAAAAAGATACTTGAAAAATGACTGACCTTTGTATTGGCTTTACCTGCCAGAGATTTTAACTACATTGGTCATCCATCATTTCCTTTACTGTTGTGCAAAACCTGTTTAACTTGCGAGTGTTGCTGCCAAGAGCTGGGTTGGATTTCCAGGAGTCCTTGCTAACCGTGCTGTTTGGCTGCAGCGTTAGGAAACTATACCGTGCGCACAGTTCAACCCAGAGACAAGGACCTGTACTTGCCCTGGGGTTTAGCACAGGCTTAGGATGGGGAGAACCAACCAGAGGGTGGTGGGCATCCTGTTAGACTGGCTGCACCGGTGCAACTAGAGCCTGCACAGACTGTCCTGCCCCAGGAGCGTTGAAAAGAGCCACTGGTGAGAGAAGGTTTGCGCTGGGCTTTGCCTCACCCTGACCGGATGTGCTGACCACGCTCAGCCCTGCTCTGTCCTCTTTGAGGCTGCAAAGCAGCAGCCTTGAGCCATCCCTTCTTCACAGGCACCTGGAAATGAATTAACCAATCTTCTTCAAAGTCTAAGTCAAATTAATCAGTTTAAAGGCTCAGCATTTTCAAATTTGAGACAGAGCTGCTAAGAGATATGGGAAAAAAAAACTATTAATTTTTCCTAGAAATTAAATAAGCACCATGTCTTGCCTTGGGAATTATGGACTAACTACATAAAAAGAAATCACATGAGCATGTCAGGCCAACTCCCTGCAAGACACTGAAGAAAGACATGCCAAAGTTTGAGATCCATATCCACCCCTCTGAAACTTGTGCACGCAACAGGCATCATTCTTCCCCAGCTTGTGAATTGTTTTACAAAGTCACAGTCCTTTGCACCTGAAATCCTTTGCTGTGGCTGACCTCGTTCCTGGCACAGTTTAGGTTCACCGTAAGCAGTAAAATCCTACGCAAGGATTTTACTTTTGTTTTCTCCCTGCCTGAGGGACACAAGGCAGCACGGGGCAGAGTAGCTCCTCCGTGCAGCAACCGCCTGGGTGAAGCCGCAGGTAGGAAAGTAAGCGGCACCAGGCTCACGGCAGGAGCAGGGCAGCACAGACCACACGAGTGTGTCAAACACGCAGGGGATTTATTTGCACTTGTGACTTATGGAGTCACGGCTTGGATCACACGGCTTTGTATCGTGACATGGGACACCAGCGCACAATGCTGATCGGAGAGGGCTGACCTCTGCAGCGCAAATGGCAGCTCACTGGACCCTGCTTCACCAAGCAGCTTCTGGCACTGCCTGCCACCTCGGTGATGCTGCCAGGCAGGAGCGGCGACATCTCAGATACGTTTCTCTACGTAGACAGTCAGGGGACAGCACCACGGCTGACAGAAATCAGCTGGGGAAGCACAGCCTTCAGCTGGGTGGTTCCACCGCCCCCCCTGGGGTGGTCCAACCACAGCTGGCTGCCAGTCACCCACCAGCTGCTCTCTCCCTCACCCTCCTCAGCAGGATGGGGGAAGAAATTCGATGGAAAAAGCTCATGGGTCAAGTAAAGCCAGAGAGATCTCTCAGCAATTACTGTCACAGTCAAACCAGACTTGACTGGGGGAAGATTAACTCACTTTATTGCTAATTAAAAATGGAGTAGGATAGCGAGAAACAAAGACAAACTGAAAAGACCTTCCCCCAACCCCTCCTCCTTTCCCAGGCTCAACTGTCTCCTTCCCACCCAGCAGCGCAGGGAAACTGGGGGTTTCAGTCAATCCATAACCCCTTGTCTCTGCCACTCCTTCCTCATACTTTTCCCCTGCTCTGCTGTGGGGTCCCTCCCCTGGGATATGGTCCTTCAGGAACTGCCTCAGCATGGGTCCCCCACAGGCCCCTGCCAGCAAACCTGCCCCAGTGTGGGCTCTTCTCCACAGGCTGCAGCTTCCTGCAGGGCACATCCACCTGCCACAGCGCGGGGTCCTCCACGGGATGCAGGTGGGTACCTGCTCCACCGTAGGCTGCAGTGAGACACTGTGCTTCCCAATGGTCTTCTCCACTGCAGGGGAGTCTCTGCTCCAGCGCCTCCTTCTTCACCAACATCGGGGTCTGCAGGGTTGTTTCTCTCACATTTTTCTCCTTACTCCCCCCTCCCACACACTGCACAGCGTTTTTACCCTTTCTTAAACATGCCATCACAGAGGTGGCACCAGCATCACCAGCGCTGGGTCCATTTTGGAGCCGTCGAAGTGGCTCTGCCCAACACGGGGACCCAAGGCTGCTCCTGCAGCTTTCCCCCATCCTGCTACCAAACCCTTGCCACATACACCCAATGCACACAGTTAACTCCATCCCAGTCAATCTCTCTCAGCCTACCACCTACCCTGGGTGCACCAGAAAATTTCATCTCTCAAATGGTCTTAAGTTATTGCTTGCTAATTCCCCATGAGACCTAGCTGAAGTGTATTTTTCCATTTCAGTTTACACCAGTGAACAGCTGTGGTCACAGCTGGATTACGATCTGCCCTTGACCCAGCAGATCAGACTGGCAAAGGGGAACAAAACTCAAGTTTGAAAGCCCTTGCTCTAGAAAAACACACAGCTCTAACAAGGACCTGCTGCTTTTTAAAAGGCAGTACTACACAGCTTTTCTCCTTCAAGCAAACAACCAGCTGGGATGAAGAGCATCAACACAGCTGAAGGTCTACTAGGAACATTTTGAGCTCACTGGAATAAGCAGCATTTGCATCATACAGAGCACATACAACAGTTTATTTATCAAAGCTGTACAAGTATTCAAAGGTAACTTAAGATATCCAGGATAGTCAAATTACTTTAATAGCAGTTGGTGAGATACAGCAGGCTGGCGCGTCAGCACAACCCGCACCCGTTCAAGAGAACATCGATAGTTTATTACCCTGGCAGTTGCCGGTGGAAAACCATCACACAGAGCAGTTACATGAAACAACCTACAGCCGACCTCTGCGAGCGGGCCATCTTCCCACCCAGGGGCCATTGCTGCTGGAGGGACGCGATCATTTGTGGGGGAGCACTTTATTGCCACTCACAGCAACCGGAATCAGGAGCCTCCTGTACTCCAGAGGGAGGTGATGCTCTATCAGCACATTCAACGGCATCTTGTCTGTCACCAGCCCTTGTCTTTGTTCAAGAGGAGAGCAGAGAAGAAACAGTCATTAGTGAAAAGCGTTTCCACTCACCTTACTAGCAGAAACAGGTTTTTTTAAGCTGTCTCGCAGTGACATTTTTGCATTTAACAGCTGAAATGCTGCGGCTGCTTGTGCCGGAGAAGCTGTTTGCAGGCAGCTCTCAGGTGACGTACTAGGTCCTGCGCAGACCCCATGCTTGCCTACACACAGAGGTTAGGTCTCCATGGGTTAGGTAACCAAGAGGGTTACGGCTTCCCACAGAGGTACGCATCTTCCATGGAGAGTGTCAGCACCTTGGTCTTTACCGAAGTATAAGCTCATTGCCTTTTAAACTCACAATCCACCTACCATGGGATCAACTAAGACACACACAGAATGATGTAACAGAAGCAAATAGCCCGCTACCCAGCAGATTTTTTTACATTCCCAATTCAGAAGTGGTTGGCATTTTCAAACTGCATAGGCCATGTAGTTTTCTAGGACACCATTTAGCCTGAAAACCCAGAGTCTCCTAGTCTTGTAGAAAGGAAAAAAAAAGCAGCATTTATTCATGCTTTCCTTGTGGAAACAAAGAAATACTGTTCTTATTAGTGAATCAGCAACAATTCCTGATCCCTTTATGAGCAAGTGGAAAGGCATAAAGCAACAAGGTAAAATAACAAGCGTACAGAATCCTCAAGCCCAGCCAATGAAACCACTGCACCTCTCTGCCTGTTCATACTGATTTCAGCCACACTGGTCAGGGGGGAAAATTAAAACCTCTGGACAGCAACAGATTATTCCTTTTAAGCAGCGGCACCAGCTCCATCCACACAGGCCCCACAGAGCCAACGCCTTTAATCAGATGTGCCCAGCACAATCCCTCAGGTGACTTTAACATCGCATCTGAAACTCTTCCAGGGGAGACAAGGAATAACAACTCGGAATAATGACTTTAAACAAGGAGCGATGAATTTGTTTCACACCCCCCCCCTCCTGAGTTTCAGAGGGGTCCCAAGCCAAGAACAAATCCCTTGTGTTCTGGTCACAGAACAATGTAAATTCAGGCAGGAGATGGTGGAGCTGAGGGAGCCCACAGGAAAGCAGAGCCGAGGAGCGGCTCCGAGAACAGTTCATCCAGGCTGCTGGCCCAGGGAACACCATTGGCAGGAGAGGCCAGCCCTGGCCTGCCAGGCTGGAGGCTCCTTTTCCTGCTCTGGAGAGGAATGGCCAGTTTGAACCCTGAGCATGAGCTTTTGCAGAAGGAGGAAGAGTAGAAGTTTGTCTGGAAGAGCAAGTCATCAAAACAGGCAGCAGGGCACAGGAAAATGCTCACGCTGTTTTGGCTGCGAGTGCTTTTAGCAAAGTGATGGCTCACGGATGCAAATGGTGCAGCCCAGCCTCGACCTTACCATTCCTCTGCGTTCTCTACTGACACCATTCAGTTCCCATAACTGCTTCACCCTCACACATATGCCCCTCCTCTCACTACTTGTTCCTGACGACTCCTGCACCCCCGGCCCCTCACGACTTCCTCTGGCCCCTCCACCACCGCCATCATGGAGCACGAAAACCCACATCCACAAATGCCCTCCTGGGACAGAAGGCCAAGTGGCATCACACAGAGTAAATCACAAGATTCCACGCTTATGATGGAAATTCTGCACACCCTGGCAATGACAGTCTGATCGGGCTATCAGAGCACCACCGAACACTACTGCTGGTTAATGATAACCCTCCTTTACCTTCTCATGAGAACTTCTAGGTCAGCTTTCTCCACTGTCTTCCTCCCTGCATGGCTGCTGTAAGCTTCCAGATCACTGCTTAGCTGCTTAAAGTATCTCTTGGAGCTGAAGAATTGAGGAGGGAAATAAAATCAGGCTGTGGAACGTGTGAACACTGTCTGCTCGCCCAATTCTGTAGGGTAAGTCGAACTCGAGCGGCTCACTGTGCATGTCACAGCCTGCCAGGAAAAACTGTGGAAGAAGAAACACTCCAGAGCCACCCCGCTCATGGAGAGTGCCAACAATATTAGCTAGAGAAGATTGTGATCGATGCCATTTGTACAGGTTGGGACAAAAACCAGGTGCTCCTGCATGGCAGTGTTGGTCACAGATGCCCCCACAGCAGCCAAAAGCACCCAGCACATTTCTGTCCTCCTTTTAACCAGACCTCCCACGACTCTCCCCAGCTGAACAGGGAGGGCTGTCAGCTTGCCAACAGCACTCCTGACAGGTTTGTCATTTTGGGAGAGAAAAGGCAGAAAAAAAACCCAGACTAAACAGAGCGGGAAGAGGAGCAGTTTGTTGCTGCTTACCATTTTTCAACAATTTTGAACGCATCTCTGGCCACTGGCATTTTCACATAATGGCTAAATATCTTCTTTATCAAACTACTTGCTACTTCAGGCTCACGCATTTTCCTCCGTGATGCTCCCAAGTTCTTTGGGGCTGGCTTAGCCTGCAGCGGCTGCAGGGGAGACCTTTGGGGGAAATGGAAAATTCACACATCAAATGAACAAACATGGGGCAGGGGCACAGGCAGAGAACACCAGGCTGAGTCTGGGCAAACCTTACACTGAATTTAAAGCGGTAAGAACTACCCCTGGCTCTTCATTCTTTCTCCCTCCCAATTCTTCAAAACCCTCAGGCCCATGAAGTACAGCTCACTTGGCATTATGACCTTGACAGTGGCAAACCAGGGTCACATTTCCCCAGATAAGCACATAGTGTAACAAAGAGTGGGCAAACTACAGCTTGCACTGCACCCCTGTAGTACCCACTCCAGCAGTGCACAAAGTTTGAGGCACCCACAGGCCACCTCTGTATCTGCAGACAGCACTTTTATACTATCACGAACATGTCATCTAGTTGCATTTTGTGGGTTTGGGGTTTTTTGGGTTAGTTGGTTTGCTTTCTTAGGGGAGGGCTTCCCCCCCTTAAAATAAGACTAAGTCCCAAAGGAAACTACAACTTTTTTCCATTCTAAAAAAGAAAAACTGTAACATGAAAAAGGGAAGCAAAATCCCTGGATTCACTCAGTAGACAAGAGGAAAACAACAGAAAACACCCGGAATCTGAGGCTAACACATGCAAAACCCAGAGGCAGTGCATGTATCATCTGAGTCTCTTTCCAGCTCACCTGCCTGTTTTTCTGTCAGAACCTCAGGGGCAGGAATAAGAGATCAGGCCCAGAGATTAAGTACATGGAGCAGCAAGACAAAAAAAGAGTCATGATTTAAGTCATCTCGGTTACTGCTTCTGTGCCTCGCTTTACCCATTTGTGAATGGTTATATACAAATGTTTGGTTCACAGGATCAGGGGAAAAACTGAAGTTTAGTGACTGTATGAGACTTTGGTGTTTCTAAATGAAACGTTCTGTGGCCCTAACCTGGTACAGCTGATCACAGCAGAATTATACCAGTATAAAGAGATTATTTTATAACAGAATGTCTTAACTGTGGCTCTCTCATGGTTACTGCCCCACTACATAACCTAGAGTATTCATCAGGCTTTTACCCTGAGCACTGCTGTCTCAGGAAGCGAGCAGGCCAACTCAGCCAGACTGCATCCCACAAAGCGCAGACAACCCATGCACTTTTTTGTGCAACAGCTCCCCGTAATTGAGGCTCTGAACCTGTAATTACGGTCATCTGTTACCTCAGCACAGCTTGAAAGCCTGAAAATCTGTCAGTCTGTTAATGTCCAGAAATTCCTATACAGAACATGCATCCAAATACACAGACTTCTTTGGCGAATGAGGACCAGCACTCTCTATAGAAGAACTAGTATTTAGACATTCCCCATATATATAAAGAGCACATCCCAGTGCAAAATCCCAAAGCAAATCTACATTCATTCAGTTATAACGTAGTTCTGCTTCAGCAGAGTGTCAAAGACTCCTTTTTCTATTTTATAAATGTATTTTAATATTCATCACTTACAGCACCTTCTGTAAGCATTATTCACCTCTGTTCACAGCAGTACAGGGCACAAGAATTCGGTTTTACTGTTTACTGCTTCAACAAACAAAAATCTGGAGTCATGGGCTAGCAAATTCCTCCTGTTCCCTAGGACCCACTGTTACTCGTTGTGATGAAGCATATGGCTTCACCAAATTTCTAGTTAAGAGGGTGACAAATGTTAATTAATTTGGAGCAATGCAGAGAACAGCTTCACTTTCTGCCTCTAGGTGAGCTTCATTTTATACTTGCACATGGCAACTGCATACAGCTTCATGCTGCTAAGTCAACACAAATACGTCATTTTGTGTTATCAACATAATGAAATCTGTCATTACCCCTCTTCTACAAGGGCCTCTGCATCCCCTACTGGAGTCGATGGCTCCAGGGTTAGCTTACCAGTTGAAAAACTCCTAGGAAGAGGTTTTGGCCTTCAGCACAAGAAAAATATTACAAGAACATTTGTTGGAAAGACTTGAGGCATCAGATCTGCTCTGGGAGAGTACTGACATTCACACGATAGAACTCTTCACTCAACTGCTAAAGCAGTGAATGAACTACAGACTTCAGGACTGCTCACCCCCTGCTACAGCTCATGCAGCACGAAACAACTGACGAAGCTGGGCTTGGCTCTCTCCCCTGGACACTTACACCCTCCAGACACACGCTTCTATCAGGCCACTGCTGCAGTGGCTTATACTTACCTGAGAGCAGCAGGTTTTGCGGGACATGGAGGTGACAACTTGGCAGCAGCAGGTTTTGTGGGACGTGGAGTAGACAGCAGCGGCTTGTAGGCTGCAGTATGGACAAACGTGGGTGTCTTCATGGAAACCTCTAAGAAAAAAAAAAAAACAAAACCACAAAAGTACTTAAGGAACTGAACTCTGAGTTCCTGCAGCAAGCAGCGCTGCAGCAGCAGGCAGAAGCCCAGACAGCTTTCCACACCCCTGGTCTGGTGCTACACTGCCTGCGCTCAGGCTGCGGCTCCACGGCACCCGGAACCAGCACAAGTGCTGGCTGCCGCAGTTCCACCCACCCCACCTCCCACCACACAGGCCGGCAGCTTTCCTCACACCAGGTCCAGCCCAACAGCCCCCGTCCTGGACCTGCAGGCTGGGCAGGGTGTAGGAACACACACCCAGGGCCAGGCTGCAGGGGCTGATGGCTGGGTCAACTTAGGCTGCCAAGAAGCTGCAGCCTCTCTTCCCAGGGAGAACTTCAAAGTCTGCAAGCTGCCTCATTGCCATCCTGCTAAATCAGTGGCAAATTCTCCTGAACGCAGGGAGGAGCAGAGCAGCAAAATCACATTACAAGGGTCAGTCTATGAGCATCTCCCATATTCATGGATTTTCATAAATCCCCTCCAGCTAAGTAAGGCTCAGGTTATAGTCAATAGCTCTTTGCTATGAACTACGCACATCAGTTTCCCCCAAGTCTAATCCACATCCTCTAACTTCACCCTTGAACTTCTTCACTTCTTAATAAGCAAAGGCAGGAAAGAAAACAATGTTAACAGAACTGAAATACTGACCAGCTTCCTGTCTAGAAGAGGAATGGTCATGGAGGGCTTCTTGCCTGTCAGTTTCCCTTGCAAGCTGGGTGTAGCCCAAGAATCCAGCATATCTGGTAATGGTGTCAGATCTGCAACCCCCCTTAAGAGCTAGGGCACCTGCCCTGTTACGGAAGACACACCCAACTACTAGAGGCCTCTAGTACTTCTGAGAGTTAAACTCCACAACTCAGGGGGTTGAGGGTCTCTCGGAGAAAGCAGGGCTGGGAGAACTACTGTGGTTCCAGCTAATGAGCTGCTTCTGAAGAAGGATTTCTATGCACTGGAGGGTCAGGGAGCAGGATGCAGGGGAGAAACTACACTGAGGTTTCTGAGGCAAGTTTTATGACAACAGCACATAATTTTTAGTCTTTTCTTCCTGTTTTTCTTCCTGTCCCTGTCCAATGAGACCTGTAAGGTGCTACTCTTACTGCTCCACCCTATAGCAGAGATCTCTTCCTCAAGATCTTTCCATCCCTTCATACAGCTGTGTTAACGATAAGCATGTTGACACACTACTGTAGATGCCCTAAGAACCCCTCCAGCCTTCCTTGTGGCAAAAGTGTACCAGTTCGACTATCATCTTTGTGCCTTCCACACCACACAAATACAGACAGGGACTGACATTCTCACTACAGCTGTACTCCCCTACAACACCTCAAATCCTGGCAGCGAGATTCTTTTAGGATGTCCTCAGTTCAGTTTTTTTATTTCAGGGTGTATTGTACTTCAAAAGACTTTAAGGCCAACCCCAAAAAGACACCACTAAAACACAGACATGGCCTTGATCAAAGAACTCACTCTGATGTGTGTGTTTTTCCAAAAGGTATAAGCACTCTTGGGGCAACAGAGCTGACTGATGCAGCATCTGAAGAACCGTTTAGAAACAGACACTTCCTCTCAGCTTTCTGGAAAGCCAGCCAGCCTACTCTTTTGGTCAACTGGAAAGGAAATCTGTAACTACACACACAAGATACAGGGTTCTAAATTAGGTTTCAATCCTGGAGTCACATAAGTGGCTGTGGAAGCAGCAGTTCAATGCTAAGACATTAAAAAGTCAGCATGAAGTTAGGTCTCAAGAAGGAAGGAAGGAAGACTAAAATGGAGGAAATCCCTATGTTACTACATAAACCCACTGCACACTCAGTTTTGTCTATTTGTGCACTTCCACTACCTTCACCTCAAAAGGATGATTTAGGTCCCTGCAGCACCTGACGAGCCAGTAACAATCCGGCCCTAGGAACAGCAGCCAACAGCTTCCCCTGGACTATCCAATGGACTAAATAGTTAATCACGTTATTCACCTGTGCTGCTCCTCGATCTACCAAGAGATAACAGGGAAAAGTTTCTCCAACTGCCTTCTGCTACTGCTGCGACAGCTTCCTTACCTTCACTCTCAGGGTCTTCTTCATCCTCACTAGGCTCATCTTCCAGACCATCCAATTTTACCATGGTAGCCTGGTCCTCTAGTTCATCTGCTTCTTCAACAGCTTCCTTTAATAGCTTCATCCCAGATTTTTCAAAGAAGGAAAAAACTTGAGTATGACTGCCCAGACTTCCAGCTCCAACACCTTCAGCAATCCTGTGTTCTAGATTTCCAAAGCAGGAAAAATACGTCACTGAAACAAGTATCACAGCCAAAATTTCTAAGCACTCATAAGAATGAAACCCAACTTTCCATTCCTGACAACATCATCACCTATTACATTCATGTCTTCAAGCATTAGGATGTAAATACACTAAGCTACACTTAGTTACACTGAGGATTAGTGTAACTTTTCCCTCTGCTACATCCAGGTGTGCAGAGGTCACACACACACGAAAACAGCACTTTGTAATGCGGAGAAGCCCATGAGATTTGAGTGAAATTTTTATCTGAGCTTCTTTTAAATGAATTTCCTTTAATAAGAACTTTTATATCAAGAGAAGTCTTACCAAAGCCTCAGCACAGTGTGTCGAACACAGAAGACCCAGTGATTCAGAAGTAACTGGGGAGATCATGATTTGCCAATGCACTCAGGTCTCCAAGGTTTTATCTTTTTTTGATAAAACTTGATCTGCCTGATTCTGTAACTCCCACTAGTAGATTTTAATTAAGCTTTCCACAATTATGTATTTCTAAGCAGTATTGCAAATATAATTTTGTTTTCCATTTGAGCAGAAAGCAGTCTTTTCAGCTTAAAACACCAAAATTAGTTTGCTATTTTCCCAGTATTTAGCCCAGATTCCATAATGCCAAGAGAGTTAACAAGTCTCTCTCCCAGCACTGATGCCAATAACCCAGCTTGAGAGGTCTCTGGCATTAGAGACACACTGTCAGCATTAGAGGGTGTCCTCACCAGCTTTGGAGGAGCCTTGGTGTTCAGCACCACCTTCTGCTACTCCCTCTTCTTCCGAAGGGGTGATTTCCATTTTGACTCTGGCACCCTGTGCTGCAGCTACCTGCGATTCTGATTTTTCAGTCAGTTCCTTCTCCAAATTTTCAGAATATCCCACGTGTGCACAATGCTCTGCACCTAAACCAGGAAATTCATCAATCTTACCTACAAAAAAACCCCATCAACCATAAGCATACAGTTTAAGAATTGCTAAATTTACTCGTGACAAGTAACCTCAGCCATAACCATAAGCTGTAAATGAGGGAAGCAGACGCAGTTCCCTTCCACAGCTGAGAAATGCACAGCTTCTCCCGTGTTTGCTCTACAGGCACCTAATCAGGGTGCACATCAGGGCGCATCAAAAGAATTTTACTTATCAGTAAGCAGAGCTCCTCCAGATCTGCCACCTCTACATCTATTCCTACTTTTGGTGACTGTGTGAAAGACCACCATGTTTTCCTTTAAGTCTAACAACACACAGAGTTTGTGCTCAGATTCTCCTTCCCATTTCCTTGGTTTTTCTGAAAAAACAATTTTGCAAGAGACATGCTGCATTCTGAAGAGAAGAGCACCTAGCAGTGGTTTTAACCATCCCAGACAAGCCTCTAGCAGGCAGGATGAGGAGAAATAAATGGACACATGATTTGCATGCCTTTAAAAACGTCAGTAGCTACTGAAGAGCACTTATGTACTCCTTTTCCCAACATACTACAGTCCACAGGCCTGTTACATGCAGCTCAGAAACCCTCATGGGTAATTATTTGGAGAAATCTTACAGGGAAATCTTACAGGGAACTCTCATAGTACTGTCACTTATTGAAGGGTTTGGAAATCCTGGCTGAGCCCAGCAGCTGTGAAAGTGGAGTTTTACCATTCTCTCCAGTGACTGTGAGTTTTCACACTCAAAAGTACAAGTGTCAAGGTCTGGGAGCCCCAAAAGCCCAAGTGAAGAGGACAAAAGGTGATGCAAAGAAGTCATTAATACCAATCTCACTAACCAGAACACTGGGCTCCCTACATCAACGCAGGGCAAAGTCTTGCCTAAAGTTACATGAAATATTAACTAGCTTTGTGGGGAAAAGACAAAAGCTCAGCTCTACACTAAGACTGCCTAAGGCAGCCAAGTACCAGTGAATCTCCCACACTACTGGATCCCTACTGGGACACAGTACTTGAACAGTGGAGTACCAGATGCTATTGACATCAAGTCTTAATTTTTACTGATTTCTTCAGCTGTTACCAGCAGCAATACCTCCTGCAGCTTGGTATAACCTGCCAGCTCTTAGTGCCGGTTGCTCCTCTTTAGTTTCTGCACTGACAGACCAGGGAGCTGTTTGTTTCAATTTGTTTGCTGAATGATCTCATCCACACTGCTCAGGACTTTTCTTTTTAAACTTCTTATACTCCACTCTCACAGCAATTGCCTTTTTCTTCCAGGCTGAGCAGTCTTTATCTTTAGTCATTCAACGTACAGAAACTGCTCCGTGTGTTTGGTTATTGTTAATGGTAAAACTGTTTCTCTCTGCACCTTCTCTAGGTCTGTTAAACACATTTAGAGATGGAGAGGTTAGAATTGTCCGCACTATTCAAATGGTGAGCATGCTAATCATTTCCATAGTAGCAAAGTGACATTTTCTCATCTCTTCCTTTCATAATTATTTTCACATGTTATTTGCTTTTCTGACCACCCCCCAAGCTTCAAGCTGGTGTGTTCACAGAACTGTAACACTTCTGAGGTGACTTGTATCACTCAATAGTCCCATCCCATTTAAACTCCACAGGCACACCCAAGTGAAAACATAACAGGACAAAAGAATCAAGAAAAGCTACAGGATGCCAACTTTATGCAACCATAAATTTAGAGGTGCAGAATATCTGCTACCTTAATAAACTGCTGTAAAATAACTGTTTAAAACAAAAGGCTGCAACATCATGAGAAAAAGGCAACAACGAATTTTGCTGATACACCTGGTATGTGCGAGCAGTTACCTACTGACACAGCCAGTGTTCAGTTAAGAATTCTAATAACACAACTGTTGGTGCTATAGACTGCTTGGTTTCCCTACTGCCGTAAGGAAATTCAGATGAAGCTTCAAACATAATTAAGCCTAAGCAAAGCTAGACCCACCCGGCAATGGTCTTCTCATTTCCAGACACTGTCAAAGGAAGAATGGGAAAGACTTCAAAAGGATCCTAAACTGGAGTCTGGAAAATTAAATTCAACTAAATATGGGAACTGGCATCCACCCATACCCAAAGCTTTCTGTAACGACTGGATAACACCGGCCACTCTCAGTATCTGCACATTTTACCATCTTACCCTAAGGCAAAAGGATTTCAGAGAAAAGAGAGAACATGCTTGTGAAAGCTGGCAACTTGCACGACTTGCTCTCTTTCAGGAACAAGGAGGTGTTAAGGCCCAACCTACTAGTGTCAATCTTTACTACTTAAGGGAGGGCAACCTTAAAGCCCTTGTCTTAAAAGATGCTGGTTAGTAATGGAGAAAGATAACGGCCAACATGGCTTAAAACACATACAGCAAAGCATTAAAATGCATACAAACAAAATGAGTGATTAGCCAGACTTATTCCTTGCCAAGAGGGAGCTATTCATCCTTCCTATGGGAAAATGAGCAGCAGTGCTACAGACCTACCAAGAAATATGCGCCTTTATTCCATTTGCAGGCCCTGTGAACACAGCAAATACTGACTAGAAAGCACAAGAGCAAGCCAGAACCCATGATTACAAAGCCTGTCTGGAAATGCTCACCGCATCTCTGATACGACTTGAATTAAATTATCCCCAGCATCTACATCACATTGAAGTCTTACTTTACTCTGCAAGCCACCTGAAAAGCTCTTGGGTTTAATCAGATTAAAGTACTCCATTCCCTCGCAACGCCCGAAGCACTTCTTACCCTCTCTGAAAATCTCTTCCTGTTCCACTCGGTTCACTGTATTAGCCATCTCTTCTGCATCGCTTACATCTAGGTCTTCAATTATATGGGACACAACTTCTCTCAAAGACATGCTGAAAGATCTCTTAAGCTTTAGCGTGACTGGGGATCCCAAAGATTTACTTGAACTTCTTTCTGGATGGCAAAAAGGAGCTCCATCTATTAACAGCTAGAAATTGAGAGCATTCACGTGCCCCCGGGATCTTTTTACATTTTCTTTTAGCTTTCCTGCTAAGTAAAAAAACAGTCAAGCAGAGAGGAGTGTAAATGAAGAAAATGCTCTTCCTTTACCTGAAACAGTTTAGGGAGTTTGCATCATACCTTAGGAACCAGATGGAAAAGTCCTTGCAACTATTTTTCAGTTTACGCTGAGGAGCAACACTGACATCAGCTGCCTTTGTAAACCAGCAGAACTACCTGGCAGTTCCCTTTTGACATTAATGCCTTACAAACTCCAGCAGCTGTAAGGTACGCTCTCACTCCCCCTCCTCTTCCTCTTGTTTGACCCAGTCCCCTATTCCATGTCCTCCACATTATCTATCCCTTTGTCATAGAAATGCCTGCCATTGGACTCCACAGAGCAACTACCCTTTTTTTCTGTTCATCTCTTCCCTCATCCTTTCAAAACAACCTTTCCCACCAAGCCAGCCACAGACAACCCTCCAGAAGCAGGGTATGGTGAACAGTCCACCAGGCATTAACTGATTTTGGAGCTTTCCATGGCAAGAACTCTTCTGGCTTGAGCAGTACTGAATACACCAACCAGTCTTTAAATGCTATTTCTGTGGCCCTGTTGACAAAGGATCATAAAAAACCCTAAACGAACCAGAAACATTAGCTGTCCATACTTCATGGAATGCATAGGGAGCTTTGAAGAACTGCTATTTACTCCAGAGATCCTGACCTGGTTAGCTGCTTCAGGGTCACTAACCAGAAAATCTTAGGGTTACAACCATGCCTTGGGGCCTGGTCTATGCAATACAAGGAAAACATGCTCCCATTTACACAGCCAGGATGAGGTACTTACAGGGAAAGGAACGCAGAAGAGAGATACCAGACACCAGAGAAAAACTGCCAAGGGATACAGGACTTGCACAGCACTGCTACAGAGCGCCATGGGAGGCAACTACCTCTGTCCAAGGGATTTTTAAGTCCCTGGAGACAGTGAAGCTGTGACATATAAATGACTTCACCAGGGCAAAGATCTACTAGTAACCTCCTGAGACTCCTCCTAACTCTGTCCACAGCTCCTACATTGTCTCCTTACCTTATCATATTTGTGACTCATTTATGGTGTCCACTTCTGGGCTCCCCACTACACAAGAGAGATTTCTTCTTTACAAAGAAAATGTAAAAATATGCTGGAGAGTCCAGCAAAGGACCATCAGGACAACTAAGGGACTGAAGCACCTCTCCTAGAAGGAACAGCTGAAAGAGCTGGGACTGTTCAGCCTGGAGAAGAGAAGGCTCAGAGAGATGCATGTATCTAAGGGAGGGTGTAAAGCAGATGGAGCCAGGCTCTTTTTAGCGGTCCCAGTGCCAGGCCCAGAGGCAATGGCCACAGCCTGGCACACAGGAGGCTCCACCTGAACATCAGGAAACACTTGTTCACTGTGAGGGTGACTGCGCACTGGAACAGGTTGCCCAGAGTTTGCAGTCTCCATTCTCAGAGATACATACAAGCCGCCTGGATGCAGTCCTGGGCAACTGGCTCTAGGTGGCCCAGCTTTAGCAGGGGCCTGGAGAAGATGAGCTCCAGAGGTCCCTTCCTACCTCAACCACCCTGTGATTTCAGACAATACCTGCTAAACCCCAAGTCCTAACCCATAGTACTCACTGCCAGCCACCACCTGTTCCGAAACAGAAAGCTGTTCCACCGGGTTACTCTGCTGGGAATGATCTTGCTCATCTTCTTGCTGGTTTGCGGGTGGTTTTGGAGATACCTGAGTCATTCTGTCAACATCCTCACCATCAAGGGTTAAGTCCTCAGAATATCTTTGGGTTCTTCCCTCATTTGTGCCCACACGGGACACCAGGTCCACCAGTCTTGCTTCCTCTTGAGCTGCATCAGAAATCTTGCTTCTCTTTGCTGAAGTTTTTGAATCCGACAGCTGTGGTTCAAGAGCTGAAAGCTTATTTTGGCTCTGTTCAAACTGAGGCTGAATAAAGAGCTCCGTGTTATTCAGCATGATTTCTGCATCACTTGTCAGCATGGCTGTTTGAATCCCAGACGCTGTTTGTGAGCCCACAAGACAGTCCTGTGCTGTTCAGAAAGTTTGAAAACAAGTTCTACACGTGAAAAACTGTCCAAGGTCATGAAGACACACACTTAATAGCAGAACTTGCAGAATGCAAAAATTTAAGTCATTCAACCAAATTTTACTCATCCTCCACAGATCAAACACTGAAACATCAACACCACACTTCAATGCTCCCAACTTCCTCTACCAAACCATCTCCCCAGTACCCACAGTGATGAACATGGATCCCAAACCATTCCTGTGGTATAAGTCAACAAACTGGGTGGAGCACATATTTAAGTGCATCGAATCAAAGCAACCACAGGTGCAGAGCCTCATTACAAACTTGCCTCCCAAATGACACCAGATTTCTGCAAACATGCTAGTAGCCTCTGAATCATAAAATACAGACCACACTTCAGTAACCACTTCTAAAAATCACCTTACATAAGGCCCTCCCTCCCAAAACAGAAGTAACAACACAAAAGAAACCTTTTCTCTTCAGCATGTTCTGTTCCACTCTGCCTTCAAAAGCTTCTATGTCAATAGCTTTGCGATGTTTTGGCCTCCGGAGTAAGCCTCTCTTTTCAACAGTATCTGGTGGGATCAAGGAACCAAGAGACAAGCGAAGAGATCTGTAAAAAGAAGAGGGAAGAAATATATTTCCAAACTTACACACGCCCCTTTTACCCTCAAATTACAGACACGGTGCCATAACAGTCAGACATTTCATGAATCCCTTAATTAGAAGGAGTTTCCCCCACAAAAAAAACCCTTGAAGATTACATGACAGTTTACTTTAAACGAATAGTTCAATTTCATGAAATCACCTAACATCACAATACGTATCACAGAGATCAGGAAAGAGACTGATTTACAGCCTCCTACCTCGAGAGGGCAGCAATAATATATCTGACAAGGTTCAAGGAATTATAAACATCAAAATCAAAACAGAAAACAAATGTTTGAGAGTAAAGATGCCCTTTAGATGACAGCAGACTGGTCAGAGGACTTCAGAACAAGCCTAAGAAGCTGCTTAGTATCACTATTCACAGCAAAGTACAGCTACCAACCCACTGTAACTATTTTGAGATGGGAGCTAAGATAGCAGCATGCAAAGCAGAGGAAAAGATGTCTCTCACTACGCTTTGCATCCTAAAGAGACTGGCCACGCTCAGCTTCCTCCTGCAGCTTTCCCTCTGGCAGCCCAATCAAAAAGGGGTTCAGAGGACCCAAAGATGGCAGCCCAGCATGCAGCCGTACCAATCACCTTGCAGGTGACCAAAGGCAAGGGCTGCAGCAAGAAAGGTGAAATAAATTGCTAACTATGGGTGGGATCATTAGCAAATTACATGGACCACACAGGAAAAGAGGTTCTTTAACTCGCCAAAAAGCTTTTAAAGTCCAGGAAAGCTGGACTAAAGACTGCATAAACGCAACTGATGGGATGAGTCAATTAAGAGGCAGAGACAATATTCTAAAGTATGTTGTGTGCCGATTTATTGTTGGAAACATGAGAACGAATGGAAAAAAGGAATGAGCCTAAGAAGTAAAAAGAGGAGCAGCAGCAGCAATACAAGATAGACCAACGTGGGCATACAGAGCCACAGTTTCTGAAAAATCACAAGAGATGTATTGGAACCCCTGCAAACTGCATCACCAGAGTGGGAGATGATTGTGTTATTATTAACACAGGTCTTTCTCACGAACACAGGTGTCTATACTGCTCTTCACAACTACAGAGGACAGACAGAAGTGAAGACATTTTAGTTTAAACTCACCGAGCCAAAGCAGTGCTGTCCAATGTGGACTGTGCTAGAAAAAGTTGGGGACACATTAGTTGACAAATTACGCTAGCAGAGACATTACCCTCTACACAACAGGCTAAGGAATACCCCAATGGATCTGCCTCTTTCTAGAGCCAGCTACACTACAATCCTCAGAAGTCACATTTATCCAAAAGCAGATCTGGAGAGCAGCAACATAATCATGCTCAGCCTGGAAAACACAGGGCTGCCTGGATCTTACCCCGCATCTTATCAGAATACGTTCAGACCAGGTATCAGGCTAAAGACAGACAAGTTGAGTTTTTGACCACAGGTGAGTCGGGGTGGGATTCAGCTCCAGATTAAAATACCCACACACAGGTGTCTCTGTTCCCATTATAGTCAAGACCAATTAATCCAATGTAGGTGCCCGCTTTAAGGTGAGCTGCATCACCCTCCAGACTCCACTGACCAATCTCCCCCGAAGTTTAGGAGGACTTCAGTTCCCTAGTGTGCACATAGGGACAGGGCATCTAGAATTCAGAGCTGGGGTACCCATGTCCGCAATTTGGAGCTGAATCCCACCCTTGAATTCTACTCCAGTTGCTGTTGCCAACAGGGTACGTAAAGCAAGGTGAGGTGTTTTACCTGGCTATGTTAAACAGCAACTAAAATGAAAGTCATTTACCAAATTTGTAAATTCATGTTTAAGGGGAAGACTTACTCCAATATAAAACATTATTTCTTCTATAAACTTACAAGACCTTTTTTTCCCCTCAAACAAAAACTTTATAACTTATTCGATATAATTGCAATGAAATGTATGCAGCTACTTGTATTTTCAAGTGTCTGGAACTGAGGGGAAGACAGGGATATCTTCCTTGGGAGATACTTCAAAATCAAAGAGCACCAAGTTGGAAAAATAGTCAAGAAGTGACATACAGTCAGGGCAGAGCCTGTAACCTGGCTCAGAAAGGCTCGTTTTAAATTTGACAGGAGGGGCTTTTACCTCCTCTGCCATCCCCTTTGCACAAGATGCTGAAATCTTGCCTCCAAACGTACAACTGCCCTGCTGAGAAGTTCCTAAGAACCAAACTACAGCAACTGAAAATCAGCTGCCAGGAAACAGTGCTGACCAGGGCAGTTTTCAACTGCAGCCTTACCTTTGTTCTGGGGAAGTCGTTTGTCTGCTGCTCTCTCAAATTCAGAAATGCTGAGTTTCTTTCTCTTCTCAGCCATACGGAACGGGGCGACAGAGGTCTCCTCAGGCACAAGGTTTGGCAGTTGCATTTCCACCCTACCAATACAAACCAAGCCTTTAACAAAGGACAACATTATCTCTTGGCTACATGGAAAGGTCCCTGTAACGTCACTGAAAAGCAAATTAGAATTATTTGTCCTTGCTGCAGCAGAAATAAGGAACTCATCAGTGATTAGCTCAGCAAATGCAGGAGCAAGTCATTCCCTCCCACTAAATCAAAGTAAATTTCACAGAAAGAATCAAAATTTGAGTGTATATCCAAAACAACAAGGCTGAGAAAGGTCAGACTAGAGTAAAAACTTGGTCTCCCACCAGCTCCGTAGCTCTCTTCTCCCAACCACATGCAGGAGCAATGAGCTTTGTTAGAGTGTAAGTGAAAAGAGACACCATCTTGAAACAACCTCAGGTACCACAAAGCACACTGGTACACGGAACAGACATGCAATATCCCAGTCAGGCACTGGATCAGGATTAGAAAGTAAATTTCCGAGTTGTTTTCCCCCTTTACTGAGAGTCCCCTCTCGTGAAGGTCAGATCCAGGCAGTGAGCTGCCTCACACCGTGCCCTGCAGAACTGGAGCAGAGCGTCACTGCTGCAGCCAAGAGCCCATGTTCAGCGGATGCAGCGTTCGTGTCCTTTGCTGCAACAAACGTGGCTTCAGCACAGCAAGAACAGCAAGGTGATCACGTTTATGGGTCTTTCCCCCTTACAAAATACATTTCCTACTACTCACAATGTAGCTAAGCTTCATTTCTTGTTATGAGCATAACATAGGCCTAAGCATTAGAATTAACTGGCTTGTAATGAGGAACAAATGTAAAGCAGCGGGGAAAAAGATCGCTCATTTTTTCACATCTATCCCAGAATGTGCTGTTACAGCTAGGGAAAGCAGTGCCTTCCCAAATTCAATAAAGTTCACATCAACTAAAGGAAGGTTGTGAAGGAGGATTTCAAACAAAAAGTCTGTACCTGTTCAAGTTCAACAATTAGCTAACATATGGGATATAAAACCCTGCAAAGATCCAGCCGTCCTGTCTTTCCATTTAAAGCTGATGAGAAGCACCAAGGCATTCAAGAACTACAACAAGCAAAATCAAGAAGGAACTAAAATACTGCTCATCGTTTTTGAATTAAAAAAAAGAAAACAAATAAACAAGCTGCCACACTTCCAGAAAACTCAGTTGTTTCTTCTTCCTCTATTAAAAAATCAGAAAGTTTGCTCAGTATTTTACACAACCAGTTTAAAGTTGCTTATGGTCAATGCAAAAATTTAGCTATAAAGACAAAGCAAATCACATTATTTAGAATAGTCTGGTTTGTAGTAAGCAAAGACATGCACGAGTGTTGACATAGAAGCGGTTAAAGCAAATTAAGATCTACCACCACTACCGGCTTTCTTCTACTTCATAACAAAGTGGAAGTAAACAAACCACACTTCAGCCTCTCCAGTCAGGCCTATTAACTGAAAATACTAATGGAAGCTAAACACGAATAAAAGCAGCTGAGCCTCAGACAAACCTCACCTCCAAACCACCCGGCGGGAAGGGAGTTAGCCCAAAACAAGGACAGCCAAGAAGAACTAACACTGTAAAAAGCTACAGCAGCCTGCGTTCAGCACATGGCTGGCAGCCTCAGGGGGATCCAAGCACTTCTACTTTAGTACCTGTCACAGGCAATTAAGAAAAGTAGGCGTCCAGCAGGAGACTTACTGTAACCAGCACTTCCACTGCAAAAAGACATTATAAGTCCGTATTTAAGAAAGGGGACTAAGCCCAAACCTGCAGTATTCACTATTCAGCCACCTAGTCCCCGCAGTTCCATTGTCACTTTTAAAGCTGGAGTAGTATTGCTCAAAATCCCACCTGACAGAAATCAACGCTGATCACCGAAACAGAAGTAGAGAACTCCTGCTCCCCAATCCCATCATAGGTACTGCAGCTATATCTGGTAGTGTCAAAAAATAAAAGTTTGCTTACATGCTGGAAATCCTCTTAGATGGCAGTTCTGGTTGATCTTCCTCTGTCTCCTCATGTTTAGATATCTCAAGTGCTAGGGGCGAAACTTGCGGTTCTGCCAACAAATCAAAACATTTCCCCAATTCAATCCAGTGAGAATGCCAAAATTCAGCAGAGTGGCATATCTAGGCTACAGTCTGTAAATTACATTTATTAATGGGTTAAAATAAAGACCTGGTGAAAACTATTTGGGTCCTACCCCTAGGAAGGCTGGCACATACAGCAACAAAGCCAACAGGGCCAAACAGCAGCATGGGGGTTCCACGTCCTGCAGCAAAGCTGAGCTGAAGCTTGCAACAGCATGTGCCACTTTTTCCTGAATAAAAAGTATACTTACGAGTCTGGATGATTCTCTTGAGCATAATCCGTGGCGTATCATTATCAAGATGAGGCAACACAGCTGAACTCTGCTTCACCAAGGTGCTTCGGCCAGAATTCTTTTCCTTTCCTGAACCAGATACAGTCTAACGAGAGAAATCAGAGACATGCAATTCAAAAAGTGTATTTTCATCACTAAAGATGAACCTTTGCCTCATAATACTTCATCACCTGTCTTCTAATAAAAATCTAAGCTAACCAACACGAAACATTTTCCCAATCCCCCAAAAGAAACCGTGCACGTTCACTTTTTAACCATGCTGGCACTTCATTTTCGGGCAGAAGACCAAAAAGACACAGCATTATTATCGAGGTGGTTTCAACGCACAATTCTCATCGCAGACAAAAGCCTGAGGGACTTGAAAACACGGCCCACGGCCCTTTACCCCTCATAGCCCTGACATAAACCAACCCAAAAAGCAGAAAGAGCAGAAAACCACAACCGAGGTGGAATGCTGTAACGGCCCTGGCTACGTGGCGAGCACGAAATTCAGGGGGTTCAGCCCATTTTACATGTTGAAAGGTGAATAAGTGTCCTGCTGCACCCAGTCCCTGCTTCAAGGGCCTCGCTTTACCCCCGCGCCGAGCGGGG